CTAAAAGGCCCAGACACGTATTTCGCCGGCATTCTGCCGCTGCTTGACACAGCTGCGAGGGGCCCGGCTTAGCATCGTGTCCCTCCAGCTTTCCCTGCTCGTGTGTGTTGTTCTTTGATGATCCGCAGTGCGTTTTTATGCGACCTCCAGGCAGTTTCATCTGTAAACAGGCCCAGCAGAGCTTAAACGTTTTGCGGAACAGTATACTATCTCGCTTTCGGTTGCCTGCCTGGAAATCCTTTTTTGTGGACAATGCAAATGGGAATCCCCTTACCCTCTGAGGTCGTCGCAACGAATGTGAATTGTCGGAAGTTGTGCTCTATTTCCTCATTGGAGTTACACATCTGATCATTGTCTAACAGAAATTTAATGCAGCTGAGGGGTGCCTCCTTCCCGCAATCGCTCCTCGTCTGTTTGCCTGTTTGCCTGTAGCGTTTGATTTTTGCAATGGACTAGCTTTGCGTTTTCCCATCACACCTTTTTATGCGCGTGGCTTCTCGTTAGACCCGTGTTAATACTCTTTGACCTTTATATAATTGTTTTTTTCTTAAGGCTTTCGTGAGTAAAGGTTTCCATCTTCTCAGAGTGACATGTTTTTGGCTTTTCAGGCAGATTTGCAGGAAGAAGTGGATGGAACTACAGTGTCTCTCTACTGGTCCGTCCTCAAACTGATATCAGCGATTTGGCTGCAGCCATCGAATCCATTCCGACTGCAGCTGAACGACAAGTAACTTTTGCTATCCTTGAAAATAGTTTTCATTGCGAAATGCTTGTGTGCTTAGGCAATTGTTTTACCATAGTCTCCGAGCTCTTCTCTGTTTGATTTTATTTACAGCGTCTAAGTAGTGGTTGTACTCAAAACACTACAATCATCAGACCAGATCCCGGGTTGTAAGTAAAAAGCACCAGAACACGGGATTTATTCTGTATAGAACCCTGTCTGGCTGGTGCTGACTACGTCAAATCAGGCCTGAGAGTGTGTGTGTGTGCCAGTGTGTCAAATAGTAGGCGCAG